GGGGGGGGGGGGGGGGGTAAGGCAATAGTCCCCTTCACAGTTTCCTGCGCCATCTTGAAAGGTAGCCGTGCCTTTGCATCGAAGCGAGACCAAACGGTGAGCTTGCAATGATAGAGACATGCGAATAACTGTCCAAGGTGTTAAAAGGAGGTCTCTATCATTGCAAACTCACCATTCGTCTCGCTTCGATGCAAAGGCACGTCTACCTTTCAAGATGGCGCAGGAAACTGTGAAGGGGACAATTGCATTATGGTGTCATTAGCTACAGCTACCAGAATCCCTTGGACACTTTCTTTTGTTTACTTAATTAGCACCAATTGTCTTAATATTCTAATGAGGGGATACAAGCTCGAATAAAGGTAAATTACACGGAGCAATTTTCTCAATAAAAGACCTTACCATGTCCATCTGCAGTCGAGTAGGAGGCAGATCTCGAGGATTTTCCTTTATGAACCAAGTCATTCCCATGCTGCATTGATCCACCCGCTGTTCGACGAGAAGGAACTGGGTCGAGCTTCATGACAAGTGACTTGGTTTCATTTGGCAGTTGTTTTGAGCCAGTGTGCCGTGCGTACGGATTATTAGACAGAGGAGAGTGGATGGACGTGGGTGAGAATGGAGATGGTGGGTTGGACAAAGTCGGTGACATGTCGGATCCACCTTCTGTAAGTAAAACAAATTCAACACAGGATTAGCACAACTGTCACCCGCGACTGACTCAGTTGGTTGAGCATTGGACTTTCGTGCGCGGGAGGTCGTGGTTCAAGTCCCGACCGGATCAACACTCAGGGTCTTAAAATTGACGACTATTACAACTCCAGTGTATGCCAGGCTTAGCCTTACTTCTGATGTCGGTAAACAAAAGCAGAAACTAGAATAATAAAACGCTGTGCAACCCCTGGGTTCATGGCTAAGCCCGCATACACTGGAGTTTTAAGAGTCGTCAAAAACTGAAGAGAAAGTGCGGCTTCAATAAAGACCTTCACGTGGCTCGGATGACCACGTACAATGGCGCGGTTTCGTGTCACCACACTCACTCATTCTCATCAGCGGGACGTAAAAAGAACCGCTGAGAACGTAAAGACGCCCTTGGCAGTGACCACACTCAGTGGCTAGCCTTTACTAATGATTTCCTATGGGGTTGATTGTGGGATGGGTATGGGAATTTTAAGAGGGTCGGAAAATGGTGCAATGTACCACCTCGAAGTGGACCCTGAGTGTGCAGCACCAGCTTGCGGGCAAAAACCACAAAAGATCAAGAGAAACATTCAAAAGAAAACATACTTTTTCCAAATCCTCGCTTTTTTGTCTTAGCTTTCTTTCGCTCTGCGCTCTCATCCCAATCGGGATCTTTCTCGTCGATCATTGGTGTAGAACCATCACCATCTTCTTCGAATCTCATAACTATATCCTTCAGATCGTTCACTCGGCCTCTCTTGGGTCTGTCTGGGGACCCGCTTTCGTTTGGGTAATCCATATAGTCAGGAAGGTTTTTCCCCTTTACTTCACTGCCATTCGAAACACCTTGGGGAAACATCTTTAGATTAGCAACAAAGACTAAGACAAGCGCCTGGAGGTCCGGAGAAGTAGAGAGCGGGGTGCGGGCACACCCACTGACTAAAAATTCTTCCGCGTTCCGCTCCCCTTGGTTGCCGTGGCTATGTCCAACAAGCTCAACAAATTAGATACAACATTTCAGAATTGAAGTTGTCGGAATTAATTGCGATAGGTTATTCTAAAACGGAAAGGAATTTATGGACATAAAAATAGACGTGAATAATCGGGGCCTTTCAATGGTTTTGTCGACTACAAACAGCACTGGATATCTCAACACTAAACTCCGTGTTCTTGACGAGAATAATATTAAGGCGCGAAGGAGCAATTTTTTCTGCAACGTGTCTCGCAATAGTGTTGGGACTAGCTTGGGCAGTCCGTGGTTAGATGCCAGAACAATAAAATTCCTTTGCTCTTGGAAATTGAATTCTTTCTTATGTAAAACGATTGTATTGTTCCTGCCATCTAACATGGCTGCCATCACGTGTTGGTGCAAAACCTCTATTACAACCAAGTTAAAAAGGTTTCTTGGGTAAAATACTATTGTACTAGTCTAGGTGTCCTACCTCCATTTCCATCGTCTTTTTTACGATATTTCGTTTTCAAGTAGGTTAGCCTGGAGCGCTTTCTTTTCCTCTTCTTTAGCCACCATAGATTCCTCTTCTTAGGTTGTTCTTCTTTACCATCGCCTTGTTCTTCACCATTATCCTTTTCCTGTACACGTAACTCCTCATTTCCTTGTTGTTTGGCGGGTTCGTATGGAGGCTTGTTGTTATTTTCAGGTACGCGTTCTAATTGACCCAGGCTTGGTTTTATCCCCGCACGGATTTTTTCGAGGGTTGTGCTTTGGACGAACGACTGGCCGTTGGGCAATGAACCACCATGAGGTATTTTAGCAGGGCTGTTCAATGGAGCGATGGCGACAGGGTTGTGATGAATGGTTTGGATTACTCCTTGTTTAGGCTGAAAAATACATTCATTCACAATTATACACCCATTTCAAAAAACGTTGTCATCGCCAAAGGTGATGAATTTCAAACTGTTTGTAATTTAGGGCGCTTTAAGCCCCGTTTACGCTAGCGATTTTCGCGGCGATTTTTGCTGCGAATTTTTTGCGATTTTGTACATAATAAATAATGGTAAAGAATTTACTTGTAAAGTTTTTTTCAGGATACCAAGATTTTCCTAGACGAATGTCTCTTTTGAAGGATGAGACAAAAGATTTCATATTTCCGAAAATTGCCACAAAAATCGCAGCAAAAATCGCCAGTGTAAACGGGGCTTTATGGCCAGTTCTCAAATGGTACGTGTCAGTTGTCATTAGTTTTGAGACCTTGGCTAACCAGTTTTAAAGAACTGACGCATACCAATTGAGAGCTGGTGGCATGGACTGGTAGGTTAGACCTGATGGAAAGCGCCTTTAGATACTGATGCAAGGTTAACCCTGAGTAAATGAGTCTGTAATCAAGGAACATAGAGTAAAGTCATTAAGCCCGTGAAATTATACTAACACACTTTAGTAGACCCTAATTGCATTGTTTTCTTTTGTGTCTATTTGAGTATTACACGCTGACTAATAATTTTTATTTCACAAGTTAAATGCCTTCACTCTAATAACTTACAATGATAGTTCGATTGGTCTGTCCAATAGACGACAACACTGGTGATTGATGTCTCACGGGCCCTACATCTTGGGATACGCGAATAGTTCCCGAACTTGCTTGCATAGCGGCTTGTGGTTTGGGCGAGATGCGCTGAGTGAAGCTCTGATATCGTGGCATCAAATGCTTATTACTTGTTACAGCTGAATCCCCACCCTTAGCGGGATTATTAGGCCGTATATAAATTGTTCTTGAGGTCTGTCCCGGTACTGATTGACTAACAAGCTGACCAGTGCTAGTGTATATTGGACGAGGGCTACGAGATTCTCCCACGTGTGCACCAGGAAAAGCATTTTGCGACAAGGAACGAGGATGATTGAAAGACGAAGTGGCTAGAGTGACGTTAGAGGACGAAACTACGCCGCCAGGTCCGAGCATACGAAGTGCAGGAGATACTTTAGACGCGTGTACTAAGGGTGGAGGAGGAGGGGTCTCCTGTTTAACCTGCGGTGGAACAACAATTGGGGCACGAATGATTCCACTATTGGGTGCATTGGCAGAGTTATAGAGACCAGCATCTGAAACCGACACTTGTACTGTGCCGCCTGAAGTGGTCATCATTCCTTGATTAGCAGACACTACCACGTTAGGCGGACCACGTGAGTGTGTCGCGTGAGATACGGCTGCCATTGAGAAGACGCTGCTCCCTTTAGGGGTCACGGATGGTTGTAAGGACGTTGCCGTAGCAATCACTCCCTTGTCACTGGATACACTTATGCTATCAACTGTATTGGAAATGCGAGTCAGGGGGGGTGGGGCAGCGGAGGACGACACTGTGACGTTAGGGGGGGCTCGACCGAACGTGATTGTGGTTCCACTACCGCTTGAACTTGTTGCGAATGTCTGCCCTGAAATGTTCGTGACTATTCGTGGCTTGTTCGAAGAACCAGGACTCATTTGGTCAGCCATAATGATACGATTGTGTGATAAAACACCATCCTGAAATCAACCAGTTAATCAATTAATTAAATAACCAATGCATTTCAAAAAACGTGGTCGTTCGGAGATCTCGAATCTGAAATCTGAGACTCAGTAATATGCTGCAAAGTGTCCCCTTTAACAGTTCCCTGCACCATCTTGAAAGGTAGCCGTGCCTTTGCATCGAAGGGAGACGAACGGTGAGCTTGCAATGATATAATCATGTGAATAACTGTCTAAGGTGTTAAAAAAGGTCTCTATCATTGCATGCTCAACGCTCGTCTAGCTTCGATGCAAAGGCACGGCTACCTTTCAAGATGGCGCAGGGAACTGTGAAGGGGACTATTGTTAAATGTCTTCAAAGCCGAACAATGTGGTTTCCTTTTAGATTGGAATATGAAGCATGTCCTTTGAGCTTCGTATTTTAGCCAGTAAACATTAATCTCAGATCGTCTCGGATCGACAACGTTTTTCGAAATAGGTTTATAAGGTTCAAGGTTCTTAGTAGAAGAGTAGACCTCTCCAACTTGGGTCTAATGTTTACCAATTTCAAACCACGTGTCATTCTCTTGAGTATTAGATTCATCGTTCGAGTTGTATCCATATTCATGTGCCTTATCATGCACAACCGTTAAACAAAGAATTGATACTCTATAGGGAATGACACTTTGGTCGTCGGAAATGAAAGAGGTCGACCGACCTTGAAAATATTTCTAGATTTTTCCTGAATTTTTTCGGGTCAGTGGGAACCCAAATTATGAAGGATATTTGAAATATTGATGAGCTGTATTTGGTTTATTTTGGCGTTACGATTATACTATCAAGCAAGCAAGCCTTGTATGAATGCTTTGATCGTTCTCCGTGATTTCATTAACTCTAGCTTAAATCTCAATCACTGAAACAAATTAATTGAATTAAGATGATGAAAATATAACTTCATGGGAAATGTTTTAGCAATAAGAAAAACGAAGCTGAAGATTTAAGAAAAAACAACATAAAAATGGATGGAAAATTTAAAAAAACCTTAAAATAATCAAACGTTTTTAAGATGTGAAGTATAATTTACCTGTTTTACGAGCTGGGTATTTCCTTGAACTGTTGCCGCGGCAACAACAATGTGCGGGGGCTGTGCAGGGGCGATAGCAGTCACAGTAGCACGGCCTGGTATGTGGAGATTTGTGTTTGGTCGAACGACAGCTACGTTGCCAGGCCCTTGATATCGCACGACAGGAGCCTGGACACCAGGAAGAGCTGCTGTTGTTACTGCAGGTCTTTGCATGACATTTCCATTATGGGGAATATGATAAGCCGGTGCGAGTTGGCAATTTACAGTCGATGAAGAAATAACCGGCGCGAGAGAGCTACCAGCTCCATTTTCTATCATTCTTTTTTTCACGGCTGTTGAAGAACCCGCATCATTTAAGATGTCTGCCTTACGTCTTCGTCCCCGTTTCTTCTTCTCGAAACCAAGATGTTTAACTTCGAAGTATTCTCGAGAGCGTTTGGCTTTCAATCCTTTGGGGCCCTGAAGGTTTCCTTGATCTGTGTTTAAAATTTAAAAATTAACAAAACCGAAATTTCCGAGCCGTAATTAGAAAATATATAACTATAAACATGGTAATGTGGCTTGCCATGGATCTCAAATAGCAGACCTTTATGAATTCTGAACAAAATATGACAAAATTGAAGCTTTCTTTGAGATGATATACTTATTCTAGTGTCAGTGTAGGTTAATTTGACGACGTACTATGGTTGAGTGTTTAATATTAATGAGAAGAGTCCTTCAGGTGTTTTAGTGAAGTACGAATCAAAACACAAATAAAAGTACATAATATAACCAGCAATATCAAAAGAGGAAAAAAACAATCTTGAACAGACATATCATTGACTCTTATCATGACTAGAATATTCAATTTTCGCTACTTTAAATTCTATCATAAAATAAAATAATACGTTTTATTTATGTCAGATCAATGAAATAGTTCAAAGTCCTAAGTCATTCATTCTGTCGTGTTTTTAGGCACTTTTAATATAGATATAAGCTGACTTCATTAAAAAGAAAACTTCCGGGTTTAAAAAAAACACAATTATATAACAGAAAACATTATTTTATCATCACTATTTTCATTGTTGGATTATTTGGCGAATATTCTCCACGTTGCTGGTGGAAGATTAGCTTCGAGTCAAAATTTTCCGGGTTAAAAAAACACAATTATATAACAGAAAACATTATTTTATCGTCACTTTTTTCATGGTTGGATTATTAGGCGAATTTTCTCCACGTTGCTGGTGGAAGATTAGCTTCGAATCAAAATTTTGGAAACATAATGTTATTTTCAACAATATCATTTGGAAAGTGATACATAATCGCGGTAAAATATAACAAGAGTCTTTTAGGAGCTAAACCTACATATTGTAGCCAATACATCTTTTTAGCTTTGGCGTCTTGAGTCCAAGCAATGCAAGGTACTTTTCCATGGAGACACGATCATATTTTAGGATTTTCTAAAGTTTTGCATCTCATTAATTATTTTTAGTATTTTTACACAATTGAATATAATAAACAAAGCGCGCTCATTGGACACAGTTTATGTTTGATGTTGTTATATTCGCCTGGTGAGAATAGCAGTGAATCGCAACGAGACGTTTCGTCGACAAAACAAAACTCTTTATCCGTTTTTCATTAAATTCTCATTAAAGGCTCAGTGAATATCTTGTAATATTTACCTCGGCGCTCGAAGACTCGCGTTTCGATAAATATTTACCATATTCACTTCGCCTTCGGCGAATAATATTTTTGAGAAGCATGTGTGGCTAGCCCTACATTGAGTCCGCAGTCAAGAAATATACTGAAGAAATAGAAAACGCGCGCGCGTGCTGTGTGCAGTTATAAAGCGGGGTTGGCAGAACACGAGAGAAGTGTTAGGAGAAGCACGACGCATAACGGAGTGCTTCTCGACACTTCTCGAGTGTTCTGCCAATCCCCAAGTGCTTTATAACTGCACACAGCACAGCACAGCAATCAAGTTTTTATTTTTTATTAATGACGAAATTGAAAGTGCGCGCGTGTGTTGTGTGCTCTCATAAAGCACGCGCTCCCAACCAATCAGAACGCGAGATTCAGAGCAGTTATTTGATAATGCGGCATTTCACACAATTTTCTTACCATCCGCTTTGCATTGATCTGGACATGGCTGTCCCACAGGCTTCAAGCTTAAGAAGTATTCACAACAAATGAGTCGTCTGCAAAACCGCTTCAGGTAACGTTCTAATTTAGGTCGAGAGTCTACTCTTGATATGGCCTGTAAATAAGAAAATTATAAATTATAAACTTGGGATTCCTGTGGTGAAGTTAAAAAACAACAAAACCATAAGAAATAAGAAATAAATAAAGAAATTAAAGAAATTGCTCATACATTTTATCAATTCCCTAACATAATTCGTATGATATATATTTAATTCTTCATTTTGACTCGATAATGACAGGCTTTTTTTGAGCGTCGAAAGTTTTCTCATATTTTTCTGGCCTTTTCCTCGATCTTGTGTAGAACATTCATATATAATTTCCAGTGACATGAAGGCCTGTGGAATTTCATTGTTGAAGTTATGCATTCTTTTCTTTACCAAACAAGAACAAACAAACAAAACAAAACAAAACAAACAATACTTACTTTTTTCAGGACTTTTCCTTCATGTTTTATCGTCACTCGAACACCACATCCCTCTTGCATTAAGTCGATGACTTTTTCCGGATCCAGAGCTGCTCTTGCTACCATTTCGAGACCTGTACGTATAACTGTACTGACTTTCCCCGGGGGAGTGGAATCAGGCAGGAGTTTGACACGTTCTGGATTCAACAGCGGTCCAATACAACATCCTTTGTTGAAAAATATTTGGTTCTTGTTGTGGTAGAACCTTTCTGATGCTGAAGGGAAAAAAGCAGAGAATACCAGCGTTTAAGAAATTAGTTTCCAAGTTGACGGGTAATCGATAATTGATCGGTTCGCCTTCGGTGTTTGATAATACTGGACCCGATCGAAAAGTTATTATATAAACCAAAACAAAAATAGCGGAAAGGGAAGGAGGAACTTAGGAAGGAAGGAGTTGGCAAATGATGGATGATTTATCGGTTAAGCCTTCAGGCATTGAGAGTACTGAACCCCAATTGCTAATCGGTCGAAAATTATTTGAAACAAAGAACTGAAAAACAAGAGGAGAGAAAGGAATGAAGGGAACAGTAAAAGAGAAACAGAGATGAGGGGATGAACGAACGAACCAACGAAGGTAAAAAGTAACGAACGAACGAACGAACGAAAGAACGAGCGAGTGAACGAACGAACGAACGAATGAACGAACGAACGAACAAACGAACAAACGAATAAAAGAAAGAAGAAAGGAAGGAAGTATAAGGGCAAATGCCGTAGAGAGGCAAGGAAGTGACAAAAAAAAGTAAACAGATGATTACCTAAAGAATCGTCCTCACTGATGTCGCTCTCCCCAGACTTTTCTTCGGATTCAAAATCACCATGGTTGTCTTCTCTTTCTTTCTGTTTCTCCTTTTCTTTCTCCTTTTCTTTTTCTTTCTCTTGCTCTGGTCTGAATGAAGTAATAACACATTTTATTATAAAGAAAATCATGACGGTTATATCTTTTGTTATATCATCCAACTTGGTGGCCATGTCTTTTGTTATATCGTCCAACATGGTGGCCATGTCTTTTGTTATATCATCCAACATGGTGGTCATGTCTTTTGTTATATCATCCAACATGGTGGTCATGTCTTTTGTTATATCATCCAACATGGTGGACATGTCTTTTGTTGTATCATCCAACATGGTGGTCATGTCTTTTGTTATATCATCCAACATGGTGGTCATGTCATGAATGAATAGAAACATCTTATTTATTTCTTACCTGGTAGTAGGCTTTCTCGAAGGTAGAGCTATAACAAGTAAAAAAATAAATTTAGAAAAATACAGGAAACCACAGGAAGCTCATTTCAGAAAGAAATTTTTGTGCAACTTGGATTATAAAGATTAAATTTTCATACAGATCTTACCAAGATGGCTTTGATGCTGCAATGGTGCAACTTGCCTTCCCATGACTTCATCAAACGATGGAAGATACAGTACTTCTTGCTCGGGAGCCCTGTACATATTGAAAACAAAAGCCGTTTTGATTTCTGGCCTAGGATAGCGAATGTCACTTGAAGGCCTTATAATCGATTTAATCATTCTAGAGCATAAACTTACTTTGTTTTGGCTTCTGTGATAGCAGGCACTGTAAAAAGAATACATTAATCAGTGTCATTTTCTCTTGTCAGTGTCGAAAGATTACTGATTCTGAAGAACGAGTTGTTAATATGTGTTCAGATTGCCAGCCTTCCCTCTCTCAATCCCACATCGAATTTTTGTTCAATAATTTGAAAATCAAGTTGACATTTTGATATCGCATTATAATCATTGCCAAGTCCAGTGCTATTTTAGCTTCCTCCGCTTAAAAATAAATTCCTAATAAGTCCCTAAGTCTTTCAAAAAAGTAAACACTCCTTCGCACGATTTTCGCGCCTTTTCTTAATCACTAACGCATGCGCAATACTCACTTTCGTTTTGAAGTCCAAAAAAAATCGTGTTTGTGCCGAGTTTGTGCCTTATTTGAACTAAAAAACTCTACAAAATCTTCTATAAGACATTATATTTCCCAGGGAGATCAAACAAAAATTCATCTTTGATCGCAAAAGGTTAGTTTTTGGATTATTTTTAATTCTAAATTTTATAGAAAACAAGTCTTTTCAAAGTTTAAGCTAGAGAAAAAGTCAGGAGTCAAAATATGCGAATCATATCGCGGAAAAAGACAGAATTTCTACAGTTTTGAATGGAAAAATTAACGTTTTGACATCTTATAACAATCATTAACTTAAATTAAACTAGTTACTGTTTAAATTAAGCTCTAGTTCATTTTTTTTTGGCGAGATTTAGACTGACACGGTTTATATGAATTCGCCATGGGGTGACTTTATTAAACTTAATAGTTGGTTTTCCTGCTTCTTTGAGGATATTTTTCCCCCCAAACTTATTCTTGAGCGTTTCCAAAGAACATGATAAACCGCACTCTTGATTTGCTTGATCATTTGAACGACTCAAGTTTTATATGGCATGCTTAATAATTCATAACTTTGGTGTTGGTGATGGTAAAAGTAGCAGTAGCAGTAAGTTTAGCAGTAGCAGTAGCAGTAGCAGTAGCAGTAGCAGTAGCAGTAGCAGTAGCAGTAGCAGTAGCAGTAGCAGTAGCAGTAGCAGTAGC